TTTTATTGGCCCGATCAATTCCATGTGCCACAACCCATTATTCCTGCTTTTTTTTATAGTGTCCAAGTTCCTATAGATATTTCTACACATTTGTTCCTTAATGCAATATTTATACTCTATAGTCAATTTATTTTTAACTTTTATAACTATTACCAAGTGTCCATTCTCCATGTCTTTAGTGATCCTAATATTTGTATGTCGACACCACTCATCTTCTTCTCTTGATACATATGCTGCCTCTTTTATGTTTCTTGATTCAACATAATGCATATCTTCTTCTCACTGCTGTCATTCAAACCTCTCTCTTCTCTTTATATACATCAACTCCATCATTCTGAAACTTAACACATTGGCAATGATCATTGACTTTGAACACTGATATTAATATTTATTTAAATCAGGAATGCAACATGCAAAGGTGAGACTGAAAAATGTCACTGTATTCTCTATATATAGTTGTTACAAGAGGCCATCACCTAAATTAATTTGAGTAGTTGTTATGACAGCGTGTGCGGTGTTTCGAGAGTACTTTATGGCGAGTTTTCAAGTGAAGTAAACGGAATAATTTGGGATGCATGTTTGAGCTTGTTTGAAAAATGTTTTGTGGAGAGTGTTTAGTCTTTCTGGTAATTTATATCTAATATTGCGATTAATATTGATCATTGGAATTTTACGGATATTACTTGAAGAGGGTATTTGTGTGTTTAGTTAAGTGGTTAACTATACTGTACTGTTTTACTGTACTGTTAACGTTTACTATGACGCATTAGGAGAATTACGATGACTGTGATGGTATACCTTGGCATTAGCTCCTGAACGAGTTCGGAATAATGTGAAACATAAACTTCCTCACCAAAAGCTTGAAAACAAGCCAACACTTTATATCTTTTATTCTCTTTCCCAGTTACATAAAAATCATGATTTCCATTGTTACAAAACCTTGGTTTTAATTTATCTATCCGATTATTGACATCAAATATTATTGAATAATTATTAAATAATTACATAATTGATATTATTTGAACAATTTAATATTATTTTGATAATTAGTATAGTAACTCCACTATTTCTAAAATAAGGAATATTTACTTTACTTTATTTCCTTATTTCTTAATATTTTTAAACAAACGATATATTCACAAATAATTTTCCACAACTCTTTCCAGATTCTGTTACAACATTAATTTTCCACATGCTTTTTAGTTATTTTCTAATTTCATAAGTATCTTTAAAAATGCGAATATTTTACGTAAAATTCTCAGCAAACGACCAGGTTCGTTTCCAAATCGTATTAGTTAATTTTCTTCTTTACTCAAAAGCAACTGAAAACAGACATAAAAGATCTGCAGCATAACTGCTAACGATCGAGATCATTCACCTCTAATTTATCTAATTTTGAAAAATTCCAAGAACCTCAAGCAAAGCGATTACATTTAATTATCGCGTATTGTTTTATGCAACAGTTTCATTCATAATTGCGATACACGTTAGTGGGATAATTACACGTGTACTCATTAGCAGTATGATTACAAATGACTCGATCATCTAAATAATTGCAGCACGAAATGCGTACGCGTTTGCCTCGCTGTAATCACGAAAGTTAAAATGTTAATAAGGAGGAAATGCTTGCTTACGTTATAAAACATCGCTTACCGGTTTTGCATGCAATCAAGATGCTTCGCCGTTTTATTTCCTCAGGTATTCAGCAACCTCAACGACCGCATAGTCATCTACGACGGAGAAAAATCCTCCGAATCTTTTTTTCTTTCGTTTCATTATGTAATTGGGCTCCTGTTAAGTTACCGATTTTTCCTCATTTTCCAAAATGTCAGCTCGGTTACTGGTTCTTCTTCTTCGTTGCGTAATTATTTTTACGGCGTGCTACATTTTGCGATGTCCAATTATGCGAAATTATGCGACGCGTAGTTGCGTACCGGTAATATCAACAAGTTTGAAATTAACAAGCATGGCAAATAACAGGCATTAAAGGAAAAGAAATTAAATAGAAGTCCTTGAAGTAGTTGCTGCTACCGAAGTGTAATTATCCTTTCCAGAAGCAGTGTATAATCTTCTCGAATTATAAAAATTCCAATCAGATTATTTTGTACTTTTCTTGAACAAATTTAAAAAAAAATTCCCTTTTTTTTACGGGGTGGTGAAAGCATGTTTCTTTCAATTAGTCGAACGTGTTTCACTATAATATTCACTATATAGTATGATGTTTTTATGTAGTAAAATATTTCACTATAATCAAACAAAGTATGGAAACTGGAATTATAACATATTATAGTATAGGTTATTATTAAAGTTTGGATTAAAGTTTGGAGAGATGAAAAATGATTAGAAATTAGTAATATTAAATATTGGAAATTATTAAAGATATTATTAAATTATTAAGGTTATAATAATTTAAGGGCATATACACGTTAGTGGGATAATTACACGTGTACTCATTAGCAGTATGATTACAAATGACTCGATCATCTAAATAATTGCAGCACGAAATGCGTACGCGTTTGCCTCGCTGTAATCACGAAAGTTAAAATGTTAATAAGGAGGAAATGCTTGCTTACGTTATAAAACATCGCTTACCGGTTTTGCATGCAATCAAGATGCTTCGCCGTTTTATTTCCTCAGGTATTCAGCAACCTCAACGACCGCATAGTCATCTACGACGGAGAAAAATCCTCCGAATCTTTTTTTCTTTCGTTTCATTATGTAATTGGGCTCCTGTTAAGTTACCGATTTTTCCTCATTTTCCAAAATGTCGGTTACTGGTTCTTCTTCTTCGTTGCGTAATTATTTTTACGGCGTGCTACATTTTGCGATGTCCAATTATGCGAAATTATGCGACGCGTAGTTGCGTACCGGTAATATCAACAAGTTTGAAATTAACAAGCATGGCAAATAACAGGCATTAAAGGAAAAGAAATTAAATAGAAGTCCTTGAAGTAGTTGCTGCTACCGAAGTGTAATTATCCTTTCCAGAAGCAGTGTATAATCTTCTCGAATTATAAAAATTCCAATCAGATTATTTTGTACTTTTCTTGAACAAATTTAAAAAAAAATTCCCTTTTTTTTACGGGGTGGTGAAAGCATGTTTCTTTCAATTAGTCGAACGTGTTTCACTATAATATTCACTATATAGTATGATGTTTTTATGTAGTAAAATATTTCACTATAATCAAACAAAGTATGGAAACTGGAATTATAACATATTATAGTATAGGTTATTATTAAAGTTTGGATTAAAGTTTGGAGAGATGAAAAATGATTAGAAATTAGTAATATTAAATATTGGAAATTATTAAAGATATTATTAAATTATTAAGGTTATAATAATTTAAGGGCAACTAAATGAGTCAAATTAAATTTCGAAATTGCAGTGAAAATTATTTTTTAAATTTTAAATACGTTATTATTAAATAAATAATATTATTAAATCCATAGCTTGTATATTATATTATAAATTATTATCAAAGTTTAGGGTTGCTTGGAAAAATTATAAAAATTGTTACAAATTATTAAAAACTAGTAATGTTAAAAATATTATTAAATTATGACAGTTATAATAATTTAGGTGCGACTAAATTAATCAAATTAAACTTTGAAATTGCAGTGAATATTATTTATTAAATATTAAATATTTTTATATTCGAAATATCTTTTTGACTATTATTTTTAGAATAATAGTGTTTAGGTATAGTGTTATGGTATATTTTGACTGTGTCATGGTTATGTTGTTATTAAACAGCTCGAACATTTGTTCTTCCGCATTTCAATATTTGAGATATTTCACTTCTGCGCAACTCAGTTGTAAGTGGATAATTAAACACAGATTTATTCACACGTTTTGGAATTGAAATTACCGGTAATTACATTGTTATCTTCGTTTTCTTTAAATGTGAAAAACAATAATTTATTCCACTGTGTTTACATCATGCCATACTATTCGTGTTCTTATTAAATATCTTTTTACGTGTATCATATAAGAATTATCTGATACAAAATTTTAAATATCTATAAGCATAATTAATAAACTATTTTACTATAGAAACAATGGAGAAATTTCGTAATAATCCCCAATCTGCAACATGAAGAATACATTTATCTATAAAAACATTTTCCAACAACCGACATATTCTAGTATTCATAGCAATCAAAGCTCTAATGAGCTTCCTCCTTCTCACAATTCGCATAAAAATATCTTCAATCTTCCTTTTTAAAATATTCCATTATTCAATTTCAGCAATCCCGAATCCCCAACACGAAGAACACATTTACCTTACTATATTTAATTTGCAATATTTGACTTGCTATATTTAATTCATTATTATATACTACATATGTATTTTTCGAATAGACATGTCCAAAAATACATATCAATAAAATCTGGTTCAAAATTTGTATAATACTGATTTATTCGCACTGATTTTTATTACTTATTTATTTAATCATACTATTATTTAAATCAGTGCACTATATTTGCACTGATTTATTCTTACTTCCACACTTTTCATAACTCTTCCTTAAAAAAATTATTATAATTAATTGTCTTAATTACTAATACCTAAATACTACATTTTAAATCCTTTTTACATTAGGTTTATGGACATTTCTTCCATACTACTTGAACACAAACGAAATCAGATATTTTCTACATAATTCTTCTTACTATTAACGTATAAATACTACTACGAAATATACAGTTCCATAAAATTTCAAATATTCCTAGAAAATATCTTTATCTAATACGTAGAATACATTCAACCATCCGCCAACCGAAATATCCAAACGCAACCGAATCCAGTCCATCTACCATTCAAATTCCACCGTCTCTTCCCTCTCTTCCGCGTTCTCCTATTCCCCCCCACCAAGTCCATTCCCACAGCAATAGGTCCCAGCGTGTCCACTCGGCTCCGCTCGGCTCGCTTCACCGAGGCCGCACGATCGAGCGAAGAAACGGAATCGGGGAACTCTCCAGGTGGGGTAACGAGAGAGTAAGTCTACCGAGCAAGTGAAGGGAGAAGCTCTGTGTCCCGAGGTCGATAACTAAGTGTCAGTAGTCAGAGTCGACCCGAGTGAAGGATCAGACCGAGCGAGCACCATGATCGAGGACCGGAGGAGCGTGACCTTATTGGCCCTGCTGGCTTTTCTGGCCTCCGGTAAGTCTCTTCTCTTTTCTTCCTTTTCCCCGCCGTCACTCGGACTGGCCACCTTCACCGAGTTCCTCCGACTCGGTTGTCCTCGTGGCCGAGCGCTCCCTCGATCCGGCCCATACCCCACGATGCGTCTTCGCAAGGCCCATCGGCCGCTCTCCCGGCTGCATCCCGACAGGCGTATTCGAGTCTGAAACGGTGGTTCCCAGTGTTACGACACCTACTTCGTGCGATTTCAATAGCTTTCACCGCTGGGCCCGACTGCCTCCTCTCGCCATATGGTTACGTAGGCCCGACCTATGATATAATGGCGGTGTCTGGCGCCTTTGCTATGCCTAAATGCATCCGTCATCAGTTAGGATCTAGCTGAATTCCATTATTCATTCGCTCAATAGAGTCTCTCTTCTTTTTAATAACAACTGGCTGCTCGATTTTTCTGCATCTTCGTTTATTCCTACGTGCTTCTTACTTAGTCCACTTTTTCAATGCGCATTTGCAGCCGGGTTGAGTGGGTTTGAAATAGATTCCCGGTCACAGGTTTGATGTTACTGTGGGTTTTAGGAGAAAATGTTTTAGGTAAAAGATTGTTGCTGGGGAGTGCGATCGGTATCGTTCGAGTATGCGAGTTTCTCTTTCTACCTCGAGGATATTGGGCCTAGATTTCTTGTCCTTAGTCCGCTTCCTTTCTAGAAGCTGCCGTTAGAGTCGGCGAACGTTGGCTCGGAGTATCGGAATTTTGCGGTCCCTCTGCGTTTTTCTTTGGTTTTTCATGGAAAGAAGCATTGACTTTCTATTCGAGGATGAATTGGTGTTTTCGATTACCGATACGCTCTGTTGTTTCCTTTTGCTCTTGTTATCCTGACTCGCCATGCGAATCTTAATCACGAAAGTTCGTCTTTCTGCCTGATTTTTGTGATCAGCATTCGAGATTCATCGTCTGCAACCTTGACTTGCTTTCTCCGTCGTTTTGCTCGTTAAGAACGAGCATTTTAGTAACTCGTGTGCTTATGGTCGTTTATGGTCACTCGTAAATTTCTTCTTTCCTGGAAATGGTTTAATTTAACATTTTTGTTTTACACGAAGTAATTAAAAGAATTCAATCTCTCTCGTGTATTTATTTCGTTCTCCGATTGAGTTAACATGAATTTGTATTTAATTGATGATCAATAATTGATGCTCAATATTGATACTTTTATTATTCGTATATGTAGGTATAGTTTGTATATTTCATAACGAAGTTGTACTTGTGAGACAGAAGAACGGTGTGTATAATTTTGGGGAATTTTGCGAGATAATATTATGCAAATGTATTTCATTGCTTTAACTTGGAAGCTACTAGTAATTAAATTTCGAATTGCAGATGAGAACGGTTTGACAGTTACAAATCTCATTATAAGAAACAATAAGTCATAAATCAAAAGAAGGTATCAAATAATATGATCGTTTCAAGGTCATTCGTCAATTATATTTCTTTTCTTAAAATATTGTTTTAATTGTCTTTATTATTAATATCTTTATTCGTAAATAGTACATTTTAAATTCTGTTAAATATCATACAATAAATCACCACTTCCGGACTATTTTAACTAAGTATATTTACTATATTTTCTGGAATTCGAAAATTTTGTCAATTTCAAGATAGAACAATTCGAAGCTTTTCTTATATTTTTCTAAGCTCATTTATGCTAAAATATGGAAAGACATTCACGTGTATTTCTCACTTGTAATCCAATAAATACCTCGGATTCGATATTAAAGCTTTCAGGTGTTACAATAAACGGTGACTGAGAGTCAAAGGGTTAATCCATTATTATATACTATAGTTCATTCAAAAAAGTGAATTACCAATGTTCACATTAATACCTGTGTGATTAAGTAAATTTACAATAAATAGATTAGATAGCACTATATACAACGACAACAATTACTGTCAAACAATGCTAGCTGTAGAGTATGCATCGCTATTTACCTACATTACGGCAGCACTGACGACAATTATCAGGATTTATTTAAAGCTAGCAGTTTCAGAATAATTTTACCGTATTCCTATGAATACAGCATTAAATAGATCGGACACTTCTATATACAAAAATTACATGAACTATTAACCAATAGTAGCTGTATGTAAGTAAAGCAAAGTAGCTTGCATGCAAAGTAAAGCATCGACAACAATAATCTCGTGATCACCATTAATGCCTGAATTAAGTTGTCTGTAGCCATTGGTCTGTTTTCTTGAGTTTGATGAACCAGGACCTAATTCCTGGACCCCTTTAGATCCAGAATTTCAGAACCTTTTCAGGACCCAGTCATTGGGTCCAAGTATTGTGAAGACGGTCCTGATCTGATCACGTGATCTGAACCCATCACGTGTAGTCGTTGCATTCGGTATTTCATCTCGTCGAATGGACTATATATATATGTATTTCTTCGAATAGACTTGTTCAAAAACTCGCACGAATAAAATCCCATTCCAAATTTTGATAAATATAATACACACGTATTTTTAAAACAGATGTGTCCAAAATTTCATACGAATAAAATTCGATTTCAAATTTTGATGAGTATAATACATATGTATTTTTCGAATAGGCATGACCAAAATTTCACACGAATAACACACGAATAAAATTCGATTCCAAATTTTGATCATTATAATAGATATGTATTTTTGGAATAGACGTATCCAAAAATTCACCCGAATAAAATCTCATTCTAAATTTTTATAAATATAATACATAGGTATTTTTGGAATAGACGTGTCCAAAATTTCACACAAATAACACACGAATGAAATTCGATTCCAAATTTTGATGAATATAATATATGCGTATTTTTGGAATAGACGTATCCAAAAATTCACCCGAATAAAATCCCGTTCCAAATTTATAAGATAAATATAATACATACGTATTTTTGGACTAGTGTCCAAAATTTCACATAAATAACACACGAATAAAATTCGATTCCAAATTTTTATGAGCATAATAGATATATATTTTTTGAACAGACGTGTCCTAAAATAAAATGAATAAAATGGACTATATATATTTTTTTCGAATAGACTTGTTTAAAAATTCATACGAATAAAATACCATTCCAAATTTTTATAAATATAATACATAGGTATTTTTGGACTAGTGTCCAAAAATTCAGCCAAATAAAATCCCATTTCGAATTGTTATGCCACGTTTTGATTTTTCCAGTAATTTTCTTTTATTTTCGGTTCATAGCTGAAGCAGCTACCCTCTTGGGCGCGCCACTTTGTCCCGACCCCCATGGGGTCCACGCGTACGCTCACCCCGAGCACTGCAACTCCTTCTTTCTCTGCACGAACGGCTCCCTGAGCCTCGAGTACTGCGAGAACGGATTGCTTTTCGATGGCCATGGCGCCATATACAACCATTGCAACTATCACTGGGCCGTCCACTGCGGGAATCGCAAGGCTGACCGTAAGTATCTCGTTACGCTCCCAATCATCGCGGCAATGTCATAACGATATGCATATACGAGTCACGCGTGAAGGTTTCGTCTCTCCAACTGGATCTACTAACGCTTTATTCGTTTACAAAGTACCGTTAGCTTACAACCGGAAAATAAAAATTTTACGAGACTAAAGGAAAAATCTTATTGCAGGAAAGTAACAAAATTGAAATATAAATTGAAATAAACAATGTTTATGTAGAAATCAAAATTAACTTCCTATAATGCGATGTAACGTGGATATTACAGTGTCACGTGTTTATGTCACAAGTTTATTTCGCCTGTCATTGTGTATACCACTGCTATATACAGGGTGGGCTGGAATTCGTAGTCCAACCTAACAGAGAATAATTTTATGTGAAAAAATAAATCGAGAAAGAAGAATAAAATTTTTTCATTTGAAGCATCGTAGTCGAGAAAATTGACTTTGAATATTCACAGAGTACGTGTGCATTTAACTATGGCTTAGATGGATAGATTATCGATACATCAGTATCGGTGGTAAAATCGAGGAGGGTGTAATTCTACGTAAAAAAACAAATTGAAAATGAAGAATAAAATTTTTTCATTTGAAGCTTCGTAGTCAAGAAAATCGACTTTGAATATTCACTGAGTACGCTACTATACTGATGGTCCATCCATCTTAGTTGCACGCGTTCTCGGTGAATATTCAAAGTTGATTTTCTCGAAAACGAAGCTTCGAATAAAAAAATTTTATTCTTTTATTTCGATTACTTTTTTCACGTAGAATTACCCACTCCTCTTTTGTACCGTCGATACTCGTGCATTGGTGATCTATTCATATAAGCCTAAGTGCATGCACACTTGGTGAATATTCAAAGTCGATTTTCTCGACAACGGAGCTTCGAATGAAAAAATTTTATTCTTTCTTTCAGATTTGTTTTTTCACGTAGAATCTCTCTCTGCTCGGTTATACTATGATTTCCGGTCCATCCTGTATATTATTATTCATTTTTTCTTATTGCATTCCCTTAGCATGAAAAATTCTGAAGGTACTTGTAACAATTATTATGGTCAACCATGTGATTTGAAATTTTCGTTAGTAACTAATGTTAATTTAATTTTTAATTATTTGTATGTGGAAGTTAATTGGATTAGATTATGAGCAGGTTACTGAACATTATTTTTATAAATTATGAGTGTCCTGAATGATAGAATATCTGAAAATTAACTGCGAAAGGACAGGAAAAAGGAAAATGGTTTAAAATTATTGAAATATAATAAATAAAGTAGGTGTAATTGTAAAAATAGATTAAAATTAGAATATTTCAAGTATTGCTTGAAAATTATATTTTATTTACATTTAATTGTTATATGAATCACTCGATTACTACAATTAGTCTCTACAGCAGAAAATTTTATAATGTGAATAATATTAAAATAGTATTAAAATAATACAAGAATAATCTTCGGATTTCAAAATAACGTAAATTACTAAATATGGTGATAAAAGACTTTTTTAATAGATATGTTCGCATAACTCTTTCGAAGAGACACATGTGGTGCGTGAAATATGTTTAAGGAAAAGTAAAAGTTGTATGACGGAACAATTTCGGTATTTCTATAGCGCTTTAGTGGGTCACGTCAATGTCATTCATCACAAAAACTTGCCAGTAAGTAAATTATACTTAACTCTGCAACATTACTTTTTGTATAGTCGTTATTAAAAATCAATAAGAGTTACAATAATTTATTATATTAAAATGACTGATTTAACAAAGAAATTAATTTTTATAAATTTACTCTTGTTCCTTAATTTTCTTAAGAAAGCAAGAAATAAAAAGAAAATATGTATAAAAAGCGTGTTTTATAGCTTATATTCAAACAATGTTTAAGGGAGATTAAATAACACTGTTTGACACGAATTTTAAATCGTTCAATCATTTTCAGTTTTTGAAAAATGTGAATTCTTTTAAAAACGCACGATTTTGGAGTATAATAAAGTGTTACATAAAAGGTAAGTTTGTTAGGAGGTTAATTGTTGTTTTACCAGTTAGGGAAGAGTATTCCGAGTTTGTTCATATCATAATTGTAATTATTCACGCTTTTAAATAACTATAATTAGTCATAAAAGTTTAAAAGTAATCCTCCGAGCGTACTTTCTACGGATATTCTTGCATTTTTACAAAAAATTCTGCGTCTAAAAGGAATTTTCTACACGGTATTCTGTAGGCTTTTCTGAAGAAAAAACCGTGGAACAGAATTGTCTAAATAGTTTTCAATTCGATTATATCAAGAAAACATTCGTCGGTAACGAATATATGAGGTTTTACCCCCAAGCGGCCATTGCTCCTTACTCTAGATTCGACAGTGCCGTAGCTACGCGTAAGCCGAGTAACCAATGCAATGGAGCTAAAAAAAATAAAACAATTCATTATGACTTCATAGACAAATGACATAAGTATAAATATATTCCTTTCTTGTATTTACAACTCTATTATTTATTGATTGCTTCGATCTCCGTTTATAATTTGTATATTGTCAAAATTCAAAACAATCAATAAAATGTTAATTAATAATAAAGGAATTATTAGTGAACGTAAATTGTTAAAATTAATAGTAAATATAGTTCATTAATAATTACTGTATATTCTTATGTTATTGTAAAAATAGTAAAGGATTAAGAAAACAAATGTTACCTAAAATGTGTAACAAAATACGATAGTGCAAATTCTGTTAATAAATAAAATGAATATACCCCTAATGCAACCCCTTCATACGGCACTAATGCCTTCAATAAGATAAACATGAATAGAAAATCAAGCGACATTCAATCAGCACCATCTATGATTTTGGACCAGAAGCTCAGAAAAGTAACAGGATAACAGAATGCACGAGGAGGTCGTCGAAACCTTGTCACGTGATAGACAAAGACTGCTTTCTATCCTAAATTTGCAATAAATATGAAATATTTTAAACTTATTACCAACTTATTACGGACCTATATATAATCTATAATCAACTTATAACTAATTAATAATTAATTTATAACTACCTTATAACTAATATCTTAACTTTGGTGCGTAGCTCTTAGCTTGGTGTGAATTTCAAAGAATAATCTTTGAAAAATTCTACCAATTACCAGGTCTCACCACGAGGAGGTGGCTACGCATCGAGACCCGACATGCGCCCTAGTGGCGCAGCCTGCTGGCGCTATCTGTATCAAAGGCACCCTAATCTAACTTGGAGCGAATTAAGTTAAAATGACTCTAATGACACTTTATTATATTTCGTGTCTTACAGAAGGGGTTCCGGTTCGGTATACTAAAACTCTACTGTCGCAACGCTAAGATATTTTCAAGTTCCCATAAAAATAGGGAATGAAATATCAAACACGCGAG